GCCCGAACCCTTACCCCTCCCAGACCCCATCCCCACCCCCGGGCTGCTATCAATGTCTGGCACAGCGTCAGCATCTCTGGACGTGCCAGGCGCCCTCCTGAGGCTGTTGTTTGAAGAGAACATTTGTCAGGTCTTGTGTTCTCATGGGTTTCTTAAAAATCCATTTTGTTTCTTTCTGGTCACTCTGAGCCATTCCCCACCCCACCCCATCTCAAGTCACTCCAGCCTCTTCCTTCAACTATGTATTTCCCAGGGATTAACAGAAGATCTGGCACCATGTAGGCCCTCAGTACATATTTGTAGAAAAGATAACTAAACAGAGCTCGAAGCAAACTTGACTCAAGGGAGAAGGGATGAAGGAACTCACTTATTAGGCACCTACTATGATGCTCAGGTACTTTGCACATGTTCCTTCACTTACTCCTCCTTATGGATTAGCAATTATTCTCCCATTATACAGATGGGAAAACAAAGGCTTTGAAAATGTAAGTAAGGTGCTTGCCAATGTCCTCCATCCATACAACAGAGCCAGACTCTTCCTCACAGCCAGTCCAGGGGCTCTGAGGAGTTGGCATTGAATGCAGCATTGGCAGCTATTTCCTGGCCACAGTCTTCACTGGTTTTGTGGGTCCCGACAGCACTGTCTCCCCTTCCTTTCCCTTCCCTCCCCTCCCCTCCCTTTTTTTCCCTTCCCTTCCCTTCCCTTCCCTTCCCTTCCCTTCCCTTCCCTTCCCAAGGCCACACCTAGAACTAGTGAGCTCCAGGAGCCACATTGCCAGGTTCAAATCCAGGCTCTGCAACCTTGTGTCTGTGTGACCTTAGGCAAATCGCTTCACCTCTCTGAGCCTCAGTCTCCATGTTTGTAGAATGGGGATGACAAAAGTACCTACTTCTGAATTATTTAGAGATTAAATGAGTTAAATAAAGGTCTTAGAACACTAGTTGGCTCAGTAAAGGTTAGCTATTATTATTAACATTGATACTTTAGACCTCCACCATCATGCCTAAGAGCACAAAGATGAGACATGTGGGCAGTAAACAGGATGCGAGAGGTGAACTTATTGTTTGTAAAAGAGAGAGACACCAAAATCAACCCCACGCTCTTTTTCTAAAACTGACAAGGGGGACCACACTGTCCTTCCCATTCTTCTCAGGCTGACCTGCTCTGGCTTCCTGCCATTTATCAAGACTTCCCAGAGTGCCTCTGGTCCCCAGCGCCCCCTGGACGAACATTCTCAGGCAGACACTCACTCTGAATTGCCCAGCCCTGCAGCCCCATTATCCCCAATCCCGGACTTCTTGCCTCTGCAGGATCTGGACAGGGAAGAAGCAAGGAGGGGCAAATGTGTGAGACCCAGGTTTTCACCCTCGCAGACCTCAGCCCTGGAGCACCCACAGCCTTGCAGGCAGGAGGCCTCCCCAAGGCCAGCTCTCCTCCAGGGGCGAGGGCAGCAGCAGCTAGAGAAGGCAAAGCAGGCAGCCTCACATCCAGACTACGGAAGTCAGGGGGTCCTTCCCCTGCCGGCCCACCCTTCCTCCCACAGTGACAGAGCCAGACAGAGTGGCCTGCTGGCATGCTTGACACCTTCTCCTCCCCAGGCTTCTGCTCCCCCTGAGTGATCCACAGCATCAGTGACTATCTTTTAATTAATATTAATTATGATCTTTATTAGCATACTAGAGGCCTGGTGCACGAATTCATGCATGGGTGGGGTCCCTTGGCCTGGCTGGTGATCAGGGCCTATTGTGGGGGCTGGCTGGCTGGGGGAGGGGCTGCAAGAGGTTGGCTGGCTGCCCTCCCCCCCCCATTGGGGCCAATCTGGGAAGCCAGCCTGGAGGAGAGACTTCGGGAGGTTGGCCAGCTGGGCGGAGAGGGGCCATGGAAAGTTGGCTATGGGAGCACACTGACCACCAGGGGGCAGCTCCTGCATTGAGCATCTGCCCCCTGATGGTCCGTGCACATCATAGCGGCCGGTCGACCAGTCGTTTGGTTGTTTGGTGGTTCGGTCACTTAGGCTTTTATATAGATAAATAGTCTTCCATTTTGGCCATAGTTTTATATTCCAGGCCTAATAATGACTCAAATCTGCCCAAAATTGTCCTTAGTATTCCAGCCTGCATTTCACCCACCAACAACCATTGACGATCAGTTACCTCCACTTTCTCACCCTCAAAGCTCTGTGGTCTGTGACATACAGTTGACACTTTATCACACGCTGGTTTGTTCAGTGCTCTCCTCCACACTATAGCTCTTCAACCTGGGATGCCTGTCTCTACTCATCTCTCTCTACACTCATCCCTAATTATCCTTCAAGTCCCAGCCAAGTGTCACTTTCCTGTCCAAAGTCTTCCCTGAACCCTCCCCAAGAAGAGTTGACAACTCCTGAAGGTAAAGAGTACCTTAAATGGCCCTGCTCGAGTGGCTCAGTCAGTTGCAGCACCATCCCATACACCAAGAAAAGCTAAAGGTTTGATTCCCAGTCAGGACACATACCTAGGTTGTGGGTTCAATCCCCAGTCAGGGCACATGTGGGAGGGAACTACCCCATGTTTCTCTCTCACATCATTGTTTCATTCTCTCC